CAAGCCCTAAGCCCCAAGCCCCAAGCCCCCCAAGCCCCAAAGCCCCAAGCCCCAAGCCCCAAGCCCCAAGCCCCAAGCCCCAATCCCCAAGCCCTAAGCCCTAAGCCCTAAGCCCTAAGGCGCCCGGCGCCCGCAAGAGCGACGCCATCCTCAAAAATTGCACGGCACCTCGGCAGTTGCGGAGTATAGCACGATTTCTAAGCGCGGAACGTGCACGGGACCTATGCAAGCGCGTGACGTAAGTTGGCACCCTCCGTGAGGCCAGAACTGTGCCGTTTGTGATGTTTGGGACACCTCTGATCTCCGTGAATCTAAACCAAACGAGCACCGCGACACCGCGAAACTTGCAGTCCCAAGGTGCCGGGCGGTTGCTGTCCCCTCCTGCAAAAACACAAGTGGCCAATGGCCAGCGGAAGACGGACGGAATACGAATACCCGCCTCGGCATCCACGCCTGCCGAAAAGCAAAAGGATTCCATCAGCGTTGGAATACTGTGAGCTCCAAGCAGCCGTACCGTTTCTGCTTGCCTTTCGATTTCCCTTTGCCTTTGCCTTTGCCTTTGCCTTTGCCTTTACCTTTGCCTTTGCCTTTGCGTTTACCTCCGTCTTTGTCCTGCGCGGCATCCCATTTTGAAGGGGTTTAGTGTTGAAGGGTTTAAAAGGAGGTTGAAGGGGCAACTGGGCCAAAAAACATGAAATTGGAGGTACCGGAGGTAGCTGAGTATAGGATGCTACAGAATCGGCAACGCGTTTTGTGAGACAGCTGGGCTTTGTGGGCAGGTTGGGCCGTCACTGGGCCGTCTCCCGGGAGCTATTGCCGAGGGTGTGGCAATCAGCTGCAGATGAGCCCGTCCTTCATGTTCGGCGCACAAGTCAATGACAGGCCGGCTTGCTTTGAGACCTCCCCAGTCGGAGCATTCTGAAATGCCTGGTCAACGTGAAGAACCTTGTCTGGGATCCTCACGGCATCAGGAAGAGCTGACAACTGCATTGTTGACATCGAATGAGGCAGGATGGTTGTGGCCTGAGTAAAAATGAGTAAAAGACAAGGCACATTGCTACACTCTTCAGAGGCTAGCGCTAGTATGCCATTGCTTGCTGAGAAGCCATGGTTGACTCTGCCTCCGAGGCAGCTCGTGACAGCCTGACAAAAACAGCAAGATAAAATTAGGGCTACGAATCTGCGCAAGCTTGCACATCAAAAAGCGCTGCCTCTGTGAAAGCATGCCATTGGTGCTGCCTGACTTGCTTGGCCTCGCTTCATGAATCCGCTTGAGCTTAATGTTAGTCACTTCTGTTCATTTCTCACAAGGCAAAGCATCAACATCTGGAGCAGTCATGGGATGTGCTGCCATCAATGACACAATGCCAAAGTGACGCATCGCAGGTAGCAGATGCTTGCAGGACTAAGTGCCCCTGCTCTGCTGGGAGCTTTATTTTCCAAACAAAAATGTTTCAAATGTGTGAAAACATTTCCCGGCCAAAGATACAGGACAATCCATCGATGCCATGCCTGTTCATTTGTGTCCCATGCACAGCGATGCATTCACATGCACAGACTGCAATGACGTGCACCCTCACGCTAACAAGACTGAAGCTTATGCACAGGTATCTTTTCCAAGGAAGGGGATTTGCCATGTCTGCTTCCATCCGGGATCTGTCCTCTGCAGGTGTGTGAGAAACGAAATCTCCCGAACGTCGGCTAACTCACTTCCCCTCACAGGTCCGACCTAGGTGTGACGGCCTGAACAGAATATTCATCAGGTTCATAACGACAGGTCAAGAAGTTTCTGGCTGTCGCTGAGAGCTTGACGAAGCGGCTTCATCCGGTTGCTCCAAGGCAGGTTCAGGGTTCACAAACTGCCACTGAGGCTGAAGAGCTGCGGCAGCTTCTCTTTGCTGCATCTCACGGTCCGCCATGAGATCGTCCAATACCTCAGCCACCTTCACGAGGGAATCCATGTTCAAAGCGTGAAGCCACACTCGAAATTCGTCTAGCTGAGCTCGTGTCAACGACCGCGCCATGAAGAGTGCTGAAAAAGGCAAAGTGGTGAGAAAAGCAATTCTCGAGCCACACAAAGTAAGGCTCGCGCTGATCCTGTGCACACAGAGTCATTTCCTGACATAGTTGCAAAATCTCCGTCGTCAACTGTTCCTGTGGTCGCCACTCTACAAGGTACGATATCCACAACCGGCACATTGGTTACCACATCCTAACTGCCAAATGTAAGGCACTATTGGAGTGGGTGGGTGGGCAGAAAATTTTCCCCGACCCTCTCCACGAGGGTCGTGACTGAGAGGGCTGTGGCCTCTCTTCGTCTGAGCCGAAAAACTTTCTCATTCGGAGAATTCGAAAATTTTTCTCCGGAAAATAAAGGTCTGTACTTGCAGCACGATAACCTTATTTTCCAAACAAAAATGTTTCAAATGTGTGAAAACATTTCCCGGCCAAAGATACAGGACAATCCATCGATGCCATGCCTGTTCATTTGTGTCCCATGCACAGCGATGCATTCACATGCACAGACTGCAATGACGTGCACCCTCACGCTAACAAGACTGAAGCTTATGCACAGGTATCTTTTCCAAGGAAGGGGATTTGCCATGTCTGCTTCCATCCGGGATCTGTCCTCTGCAGGTGTGTGAGAAACGAAATCTCCCTCTCTTGGTCGGGGAGAACGCAAGTCCCTTCCTTGGTCATGGGAGTGTCAGGCGCGGCGCCCGACAAGCGAGTTTACCAGCTTGGCCATTTCCGCGAGAAGCACCTGGTCTTGAACCTGCAATTGTGTGGCAACCCTGTAAAGTCAAGGCGGGATGGGGTATCCGCCGCGTTGGATTTGCTCGGTACCCGAGCGTAGAACTGAATCATCTCGAGCTCCTGTTCCAACAATGCACAAGCATTGCTCAAGAGGGTCAAGGCCTTTGAATCGCTGGTCAGCTTGAGGAGCGACGTGCGCACCGCTTCAATGTCTAAGTAGCACATCACGTGTTTTCCCCGGAGAAATTCTCGGGCTAGAATGAAGAGCAGGAGAACAGCTATGCTCTCAAGCTCGTTGATGACTTTGGACTTTTTTCATTAAACAGGACTGCTCCCAGACCCATTTCGAGGCCTTGGAGTCCTCTTGCGAGGCGTCCGTAAAAGATACACCGTCTCTGAGGTCTGGGCTCGCACCGTCCTCGGCGGCGCTTCGGCTATGTAATGTCGTAGCTCCTGAAGTGCTGCGCAAAGGGAGGCTCTTGTTCTGTCTCCTGACATATGCGGGGGCATTGATGATGTCAGAGCTTCTTCTCATGAAGCCCTTCGGCAAGCGCCCAGAGAGAGTTGGCCCGCCACAAAGTGCAGCCTTGGGCTGGAGGCTCCTTGCTCCTGAAAGACTGCCAGGTCTTCAATGAGACTTTTGGTTCGTTCTGCTGTGTTCTGGATCCTAAAAAAAAAAAACTTGCTCGCTGCCTGCTGTCTGTAAGGTCAAATTCTACTCCCAAAGAACTGAAGACCTCCTGGAACGGCGGAGCCTTGTCTCCGTCTCTGTCAAACTCAAAGCAGAGCAAGTCTAGCAAAAAAACATGCACTGGCCTCTGCGCTAGGGGCCAGCTGTCGTGTTGACAACAGCGTGAAGTCATCGTAAGACGAGCTCCAAGGCAAGTGCCAAAACGTGTTTCCTGTATGACAAATAGCCAAGCTGACCCTGAGGAACGCGTGGACCGCTGCCACGGCGCCGAATGGAAGGCAAAGAAGCCTGAAGAAGCGAACCTCCCCCTAGCTTGGGTCCTTGACCGCCACGTAAGCCATGTTGAGTGCCTCTTCGGACAGTGGCAGTCGCCTATACGCTGATTCAGGTCAATGGTTTCCAAGCAGTCCTTGTCCTGCGTGCCTCGTTGATGTAGCTCTGGGACAGGTCGTCGATCAGCCTCACCTTGCTCCCTTGCTGGATTGCAAAACGTTGGCTGATTACAGCTCCTTGTGGCAAGCCCTGTTCTCAGAACGGTCCTTCCGAGCAGCCTTTCGATACTTCATCGAGACTTTTCAGCCACAGTTCTTCCAGAAACTGAGATGAGTCCTCAACTTCCTTGATGACCTGGTGGTTGGTCTCCTGGGCTCGCTGGAGCCATCTTCGTGACTGCGCTGCTCGAGTCTCAATCACCTTGGCTGCGGGCTGTTTAGAGCACGCCAAAATTACCTTCCTGAGGGCGGGTGGCACCCCGAGACACAGGTGTCGGGGGTAGCCGACCAGTCGGGCTTTCGCCACAAATTCCTGTGGGTTCCACGGCACCTCCACCAGAACGTCCGTCGCAGAAGACAGTAGGGGCGTCACTCTCAACGCCGGGGATCCTGGCGCCTTGAACCCCGGGATCTTGTCCGGTCCTAACCACTGTGTAGTTTGGAGAGTGCTGCGGAGTTGGCTGGGCACTGTCCATCTGGTTCGTCGGCAAAATCCGGGGATGACCTGAAAGGATGCAGCCCTTTTGGTCTTTGCCTGTGTCGTTACCACCCTGGCTCCTGAGGAGTTTGCGGGATCTCCCTCCAATAGATTAAGGCCATCCCGACAACCCTTCTGTGTCAGATGCTGCAACAGCAGGGAAACGAAGTGCTTACAAAACTGTTGCGGGTACGCAGTCTCAAGTTTGTTGCGAGAACTCCCTCGTGCACTTCCCAGGGTAGGTGCTCGTGGGATCCAACACACGTGACAGCCAGGCCTGTGATGAGGTCGTTGTTGCACAGCAAGGCTGTCAGCTTTCATTTCGAGCCTCCCATTATGCAAAAGTCGCACTGGACCACAATCGCCTGTTCACTCCTCAGGATGTGTTCAACGGCGATGCAACGCCAGAGGAGACTGCGATAGGGGTTTTCTATGATTACCACGATGCTGCATTCGCAGCAAAAGTCCCAGCTTCGGGCCGTGAGCCGGCAAAGCTCGTTGGCCTTTGCCACCCTTTCGGGCCCGGAAGCCCTTCCGGGTACTCCACTGACCTCAAAGGATGCGGCTCGTCCTCCCACGGAAGCTAGATTTCCTTGGCCCTGCTGGATGTGCCGCAGGGCGGCGCCAGCCATACGGCGGCCAGTCCTGGGGAACCCAGCCATTTCCACAGCAGACCTCTGTGCGACAGCAGGAGCAAGACCAGCTGTAATATCTTGCCCTTGAGGCTTGGCCTGCGGACTTTGTCCACTCCGACCGACCGCCTGAGGCCGGCTGAAGCAGCCGCCGAGGTAATCCCGGCTGACCCTGCGAAAAACTCCAAAACCCAACACTCATGTATGGTCTGGGGCGCAGTACATTGCGCCTGTCCAGACCTGTTCGCGCCAGGGTGACTCGCCTTAGGTGAAAATACGGAAGCCTCAGCGGAAGACTTGGAAAACTGTGGGATTGGCTCAGTCACCCGTAGGAGCGGGGGCTAATTCTCTTGGCCTTTCGCAACAGCAGCAGGATGCGACTCCTTGCAGCTCTCTTTGGGCCTGTCCGCCAAAGAAGCGGGAAAATTGTCCTGTTCACAAAATTGGGCTGAACTATCTCCATCCCCCATGGCTGTTTCCGCTCTCTCCGCGCACGGTTGGGGGCCCTTGCCCGCGCCTTTGCCTCCTTTATCTGTGAACCCTTCCGCACGAGGTGTCGGCATGAAGTGAAAATTGACTGCAACCGTGTTTGTGGCTTCCAGGAAGACTTGATCTAAGCACCGGGCGTCCGCGAGCGGCACCTTCGCCGCTGCCCTTTTCAGGGTCGGCTGTTTGCTGCCAAGCTCCCTCCACAAGGCCCGATCTGCTCGCAGGACCTGCTGCAGCGTCGGACGGTTGAAGCCTGGGGGCGCTGGGGTCTGCAAGGTATCAAAGTCCTTCTGAAGCCGTTTCTCGTGCGCCTTGGAACACGCCAACGAGGTCGTAGGCCAGACCCCGTCTTTGCAACGCTCTGTAAGTCGCCATGTCTGACCCCAACTGGGCCGCCACTTTAGGGGATTTATCCTGAACCGAGAGGCCGTCCCCCGAAGCGTCCAGCACAAGTTCCTTGGCTGGCTTGCCTTGCGCCAATTCCTTTGAGCCTGCAAGTCCAGGCGCTGGGCTCTCTCAGCTCCTGGCAGCTTACGTAGAACTGAGTCCGGCTGCTGTCCCACGGTGGCCTCCAAATTTGCCAGACTCATGGTCCGGCACTCGAGCAGGAGCCTCTTGACGACCGTCAATTGCGCACGAGTGGGGTTGTCCTGCCCCAGACTCGTGCATAGAGTGGAGACCTCCTTGTCTGTGAGAGGTTGACCCGGTTGAGTGGCGGCGTAGGCTGCCATGGACACCGTCCTGACCCCTCCGGTTATGAATCTTTCCAAGAGTTGCTGCTCCATCCCGACCTTGCGAGCATGTTGCTCGAAGAAAGGCTGACTATCCGCTGCGTTTGCCATGTTTAGGGCGTGGGGCCAAAACTGCAAATTGCAAAAGAGAGAGCTGGTACAAAGGGATTGTGCTGCACATACACACAAAGCGGCCAACAACAATGTCACCCCGCTCTTAACTCCTGAAAACAACGGCTGCACTGTAGCCACTTCGCTGAGGGCTTTTCCATTTCTACAAAATTAACGCTGATCCACTTGCCACATTTCAGCGTCGTATGACCCACTTTGTACAGATGTAGCATGGTACACTTCTTGTTTCGGATCGCTCTCCAACCCTTCGGCAGACTCAGGGCCGCAGCTGGTTCCTCCTTTTCTTCCGACGAGGCTCCATCAGAGGTTTCCTCGGAGGACCCGTCTGCTGATGTGGTAGGCGAGAACTCTGCCTCCCCGTTGTCATCTGCATCTTGTGTGTCATTCTTATCGAGCACTGTTTCGCAAAGCCCACAGGTCACGGTAGCCAGCTTGTCTAATTCCTCACTTTCTTTCTAGGGTTAATTCTTCTCCTTCCGCTATCAACGGTGCGGATGCTTCCAAGACGGGCATGGCACTTGGTGACTCAAAGACCTTCCCTTGCAGGGGGCAAAGCAGTCCAACCCCCAGGAGATTGTCCTGAAATCCTTCCACTAGAGCTGGCAAATTGGCAAAAGCTCATGCGTGCTTTCGGAATTCTCGGGCAGCCCATCCAAGCTGCCTACCTTGCTGATCGGAAGTCAGGACCCGAGGTCAACAGATGCACCTGCCTCTCATCCTTGGGCTCGGGCAAAGTATCCACTTCGAATAGCGTCCGGGCAAAACGAGCCTTCCCGTACCTGCTTCAGCATTTCCTCCGGCTGCCGGAGGGGGCCACTAAGGGCATCTCTCGAGTAGGCTAATGTACTCAAAGCTCCAGTCGAATAATGTGACAAGAGTGTCTGTGTCTCGCCCACAATGCCGTATTTGCTCAACCTCCCAACAGCATTGTGTTTCAAGGACTGTGTGGCAACCCTCGCTGTTGAGGGGTCGCGGTCCCTTAGCAGTCCCGTCAGCTAGTTGGAAGCCTCGGCGGAGTCCATGGAACTCTGCAGCCAGTCGCCATCTGGGGCGGTGGCCGGTAGTACAGGGCCTACAGGGGTCTTCGAGAGCACTATCCCTGCTTCGGCAGCCACCTTCTGCCATTCTTTTGCCCACACCACCTTAGGTTGGACCCCCGAACTGGAGCCACGAGGGGCATGAAGAACGAGAGTTTCTTCTTCTTGTTGGACTGTTTCGTCTCTCTAGCCCTGCCTTGAAAGGATTCCTTCCAGAAAACCACAAATCTCGGGTCCAATTTCCAGAAAGTCGAACTCCAAGAATCGCACGTGCCTGATGTCTGACCACGGTTCCTGCTGAAGATCTGACACAGGAACACTCCTGCTGCAAATCACTCAACAACGTGGAGCTCGGTGTTCCCAACCCACTCTGCCGGAAATTTAACTTGAAGCACTGTTAGGTCCCGGGCTTGGTGTGTGGGCTCGTGCTCGCCTGCCACTCGGTCTGCCAAGCCTCGGACCCTGGGGGAGATGGAATTCTCCACATCTGGAATGGAAAGCAGAAGTTTCACAAACTTCAACGCTTGTACCATGCTCTGAGGTGCCCGCTTGCCCTTTTTGCTGTGGGATATCTCCCTGCAGAACTTGTACACCGCCTCCTCTGATGGGAGAAGGGGTTCCTCCACAGAGGTCCCTTGCGCATCTGCCTGTCTTTGAAGCCAACGAAACAGCCTCAACAAGGTCGATGCACGCTTCTGGATTGTGTGTGGTGATTCCGAGCCAAACATGTCACGAAGGGACAACATCTTCTCCTCTTCGTCCAATTCTTGCAGTTTTTGGCAAAACTGGTGGACGGGGAGGCTTCGAGCAGCTGTTTCCACATCTACATGTTCTTCAATCACATGCCTACAACAGCCTCCTCGAAAGGTCCATCTTTCTTTTTACACTTGATCACTTTGCTGAAACGTTAGCCCCCGGTGAGGAGCTCAAGACACCTGCGATTCTTTGGCCTCTTCACCCAGAGATGCCACTTCGGCACTCTGGATTGGCTCATCAAAGATGCCAAAGCATGCCTCTGTGGGCTCGCTTTCTTGTCTGTCATACCAACCAACTGGCACTGATTCCCCAGCTGATGCTGATGTATGAATCAGCGTGGCCTTTGGAGTCTGAAAAACCGGAAGGCCCGGTATGGGGAAAAGAGGTGCAGGGGGGCAAGTTAATGTCCTCGTACTCAGCAGAAAAAGCCTCGGCTTGCCGCTCCGCAAGACACAAGTCCATCTTGGCAGGATGTTGTTGTACAAAATCCCAAACTCGGGCCCACAGAAGAAAACAAGAACTTGAGGTGGCATACGTGACATGACATAACATGGTGCTTCAATACACGCGCAGATTGCTGCCACATGAGCATCACAGAGACAGCACTGGAAATGTTTTGCACTTCTGCCCCGCGGGAAGATTCAGTAAGGCCGGGAGCGGCGCGCATTGTCCCTCATCTGCTGCACACGGACCACGTTACTGGGTCTCGGTGGGACAGGGGGGGTCACGTGCACTCGGAGGCCCTGGAGCCACAGGGTATGTGTCATGTCGTCGTGGAAACCTCGGGTAGGAGGTCGACAACACTCTGAAGCCTATCGAGGTGAAACTGAAGTATCAGACATGTTTGCCAAAGCTGCTCGCACTCACTCAGAACACGTGCATGAAGATCAACGAGATGCGAATACTGCTGTTGCATTCGGTCGTGACACCGCTCGAGAGCATCGAATCTCTCGCGAAGATAAGCAATCTGTCTCAAGTGCTGAAGGAGGGTGAAGCTCATTTCCCACACTGGCACTCTCCAGAATCGTTCAGCAATCTCCTCATCTGTAATATCTCTAGACATGACGTGCAAGAAGATGCCTGAGGCACGTGTTACTCCAGCTGGCTGAACACGTCAAGTAGTACCACGACCGAACGGGAAGAAGAACCAAAATTCTCGAACCTTCAGTTTGGCTGAGGAGGATGTTGAGGAGGTCGGGTTCAAGGACGTAGGTGTGCAGATTGGGCTCTTGATGTATGTTTCTGAACAAGCACTCCAAATGAAAGTCTCGGGGCAAGATTCTGACCACTTGCAAACGGGCTTGGGGCACGCGCTGCCACCACTCAGCACTCTCTGAGCTTGCTGCTTCCAAAGATGATGAAGATTCGTCCATACACGAGGCAGCAGGGTAGGTTAAGAATGCATACAGTGTGTTTGCACAATGCTGCAGAAAGCAAAAGGCAGCGGTGTGTGTGCATTCACAGACAGGGTGACATGCATCCACTGACTGCTGAAGCACGGGAACAGAGCTTGCTCTAGAAGTGCTAAACGGATTGTGCACGTTCCTCAGCAGCACATGCCGACATGGACTGGACCATGAGAACTCTGAACGTCCAATGCATCAGTGGAACCCTCGTGCACTGGTTGCTGTTTCATCACTCGCAGCAGTCGGCCGGAAACAGAAAATTAGAATGGCAGGGCAACAGCCACTCCATAGACCTTTGCATAGCAACTCTTGATGCAGTAGGCCTCACGGCATCTAGCAGCTCCAGCTACCCTACATGCCGCATGAAGTCGCCAATTGCCTCCACCCGAGATTCCAGTCTTTAGGCTTGTCCCACTTCTCACGCCGATTCCCACCAGAGCCCTGCCACGAGCTGCTGGAGCCGTAATTCTTGGATTGCCCCCAACCCTTGCCCCATGTTCTTGCCACCGGGAGGAATACTTCCAAGAAGAAGCTGCCTCAGCTCCCTTCTGTGCGGAAAGGGATGCCTGGGCCTGTGGGCCCGACGCCACGCCAAAGGCCGCTGTCGGCACTTGGCACCAGTGAAATCCTGGCTGCGTAGCTCGCATGCTAGAAATCCCAACACTTGGGGTCCTCGGCTGGGTCTCTGGAAACCTGTCTCGGCGCCCACTTGGGCTACGTGATCTAGACGTCCTTCGGCTCCTGTCTCTGCGTCTTGAGCGACGGCTGTCACTGCTGCTTCTGTTCCTTCTGCGGCCCATGGAGGCAGAGCCTCGGGATTCACCGCCCGGAAAGAGGGGCCACGGAAACATGTGGGCTTTCGCCTCTTTTTCTTTGCCCCTTGGCGTTTGTTTCCTCTCGGAATCTTTGCGACCCTTGCCCTTGTCTCTCCTTTTTTTTTTATGCCGAGAAACAGTCAAGGGATAAACTCAGATGTCAGCACGTCGTTGCCTTCAATTGTGCAATCAAGTGCTGAGTTCATAACAGCCTGCGCTCCTTCTGTTTTCAAGCTCTCTAGAGAATCCTTTCATCTCGACTAGACGACTCATCGGTGCCCTTGCACCTCTTGTCGGCCCTTGCCGATCTTAACTGTCGTCACGGCCTGAAAGAATAGGCTGCCCTTGCAGCGACGTATGAAGCACACTCATTGTGTGCATTGAATATTGGCCCTTGCCATTTTCAGCTGCCCTTACAGCAGAACTATTTGAGTTGCCCTTGCAACAAATCTCAACGAGCTGACCCTTCAGCCGATCTTTAACCACGACTGCCCTAGCAGCTTGATCTCTCTTGAGCTGCCCTTGCAGCATTCTTGAAACTGCCCATGCATTATAATTCTCTCTGAAGACTTTTTCACTTCGAAGAACACCACCTGAAGTGCAGCAGTGTACAGCTGAGAATGTGGTTCTATCTGCAAAGGTCCAAAACAAACTAACATGCTTCACAAACACGAACCACGCAGCCACTCGCAGAGACAGTGCGAATGCAAGCACTGATTGCTCGTACTTTCCGTCCCTTAGCGTCTCAGACCTGTTGTCAGGGCAGGACGGACACGCTGCTGAACTCTCTTGCTTGGCCATCGGCTAACGAAGAGGGCACTCCAGGTCCCCACATCAAGATGCCTGGACGGGGCGTGAACTGCACATGCTGAGTCTTGATTCTGCTTCAGGAGAAACGTGTAGACAAGGGTACC